AGCTCCTGGCGTTGACCTGACCTAGCTCAGGCTGTTAGGGGCATTCAGGAAGTGAACTGGAGGATGGAATATCTCTCTATCGGTCTATACTCTCTATATTTTAAGTAAATAGAAAAATCTTCAAAATAAATAAATAAATCTCTATATGGCATGGGCTTAAAGAATAGCAAATTTGTTGGAATGACAGAAAGCTCAAAGTTGTATTTGCATAGCAGTTCACATATGATTTCATATCAAACCACAGGCAAAGGTGGCTATCAATGATATAATTAGGGTCTTGTAGGGTTAAAGTGCCCTCATATTCTCCCATGGTTGCCATTACGGTTAGCAAGCAATGTTTGTAAAATTACATGAATAATACACTAGTTAGGATTTTATAATCATTAAAATGAAAATGTTTGCATATCACCTACAGTCTTGAGTAGTACCATAGAGTGTTTTAGGTGCTACTGTTGTCAATTTAAGACAGAATTAAGTGACAAGGGAGAAAAAGTTTCAGATGGTAATTGCCATGAGCTAGCTACAAGCAAATCACAGAGGGATTCAACGAGGGAGGAATGACTTCCAAGAGAAAATATGTATTTTTATCACACATGTGCTCACACTGAACAAATATGACAAAGGGCTTTGGCAGTCTCTATCTTCATAAACTCTATTGAAAGCCATCATCAACACCTCCTCACCTACTTCATCTCATTCTGTAAAACATCTGCTTCTTTAAAAATAAGTTGCATACTAACTCTTTAAGTAGAAGCTAAAACTCATTTTCTGTTGGGGGAAAGAGGGTGGGAAAAAAAAAACTGTCTTCTGTGAATTGAGTAAAAAAATTCCAATGATAATTAAAACCATATAGTTTGTATGAATAAAGGTAACCAACAGGGATTTCTTTGGACAAAACCACACTTCTCCATGAATTCAAATTAGCAATGCTTTGTTACTGGCTGACTTTTGGACATTCTGTTCTATTTGAAACAGCTGGGACAGAAGACTGTATGTCCTACAGAAACCCAATTAGGCTTGATGAGCGAGAGGCCATGAAATGCTTCTGTTGTCCACAGAGACAGTGAAAATGTGTTATATTCAGTTTTGAGTTGAACTCCAAATGCAAACTTTTAGATCAGGCATTGTCCAATTAATTTGGCTAGTTTTAGTACAATATTATATTATGCTCTCAGAATTGTGGGCACTGGTCCTATTCAAAATTTTGACACGTTTCTAGAAATCTGATCATTTTGTCCTGGTGACTGGTACAGGAATGAATAGCAGGAGAGCGGCTCTAGCCTTGGATCGAAAGAGAACCTGACTTGCCCACTTCCTGCTCACCCTTTCCTCCAGCAGCAGTGTGGTCATGCTAGATGTTTCACTGCTTTCTGACTACAGCAGCAACATGAGAGAAGCCAGTTGCCAACATGGTTCTGCTTTCCAAGTCATTTGTCTGTCAACAGTCCTACAGAGTTCTACAACTGAAACTTTATAAAGACCCCCTTCCAGACTGAGCTGTGGATAAGCCACTTCTGTGTACCTTGTCATCACAAACTTCCTTTCAAAAGGCCCTTGAGCATTTTTCTCTCCTCTGACCCTCCACTGTGGTTTACTGAGGCCACCTTTTTCACATTTATCCCTTTCTCCTTTGCACTACATTTGTTTGTGTGAAGGCTTGAAATTGTTAAGGGTTGCCAATGGGTTTCTATTGTTATGCCATTCTTCTGAACTCCTAGAACAGTGTCTCAAATATTAAATGGAAACCTAATAAATATTTGTCAAATGCTGCATTTAGAAAAAAAACAAATATGAATATACTCTAATTAGGACAAAAGCTCCAAAAATGCTAATTGTGTGAGTACCTTGGACCTAGAAAGTACAATAGCTGGCAATCAAAAAATATTAAATGAAGGCGCAAGTACTATGACTTCCCAAAGAGCTTGCTCAGTATTTATTTGACTGGTGAATGAAGAGGAAATATCTCACGTAATGTATAAAAGAAGAAAGAAAAAATTGCTATTTTTTCCTCAGTCAGGGGATGGCAAAATTTTTTCTATGGTGGGCTACAAGTGAACATTTTAGGCTTTGTGAGCCATATGGTTTCTGTTACAAACTTTTCAACTCTTCTTGGATGCAAAAAGAGCCATAGACAATGTACGAATAAATGAGTGTGGTTGCATTCCAATACAAGTTTATTACAGAAACATCTGCAGGCAAAATTTGGCCCGTGGGCAGTTTGCTGACCTCTGCTCTAGCACACATGTTCAAACATTATCTATTAGAACTAAGATGACCAAGTAACTAGTCCCTCCATAAAGACCATGTTTTCTACATCCTCCACCTCAACCCCTATCGCTAGTTCCGACAGGTAGTGCATTGTTCTGCAATATGGTGGCTGCACAGTGTATGCTTGTTGAACTAAACTGCATCCTACACTGATTTCCTAGAACTGCATTTTCAGTCAAACCTATGAACTCAAGGCCCGGTAGTATGCTTTATCCTTGAACTCTGTCTTAGCAAAATGTGAGGGAATCCAGTAGCTGCTGAAGTAATGACTTCTGGAACTGATACGGTAAGTGGGGTCCTGCTCTCTTTATTTGAAGCATTTTCTTCAGGAAGTTTGTGATTAAACAGAGGTAGCTCTTTTGATTATCCTCAAAGTCAAGAAATGATTAACACAACTTTCTCACAATCTAAGCTCATGCTTCTTTAGAAATTACCCCCTCTATTTCTTTTCATAAAACTCATTTTCATAAAAACGCTAATCAAATGACCATTGACGTCTACAGTGGGCAAAAATGTATTCTCATATTTTCTTTCCAATGATTACAAAAAGTGCCATATTCTCATGAGTTTTGTGTTAGATAACTTCCATTTTTGAGGCTAGGTATCTGATATATATAGTGATAGTCTATATATTCATTGCTGAGATGGATCAATGTTTTTAAATGGTTAACAGCAATAATGTAGAGCTATGGCACAATAGAATGTGCTCTGGGGGCCTATTCTATTCTTGCAATCCTGTTTGAAAATTTTCAAACTTATTTCTCATTTTGCCAAGTATTGGACTGTCTTATGAACCAGGCCTGATTTCCACTTCAGCTGCAAGTGTAATTTTAAACAGAACTCCAATGAGATTACTTGCAGAACATGTTAAACATTCATAGCTTTGCCATATGCAGTTATGGAAATTGCGTTGATTTATAGCAATTTGGGTGCCACTAGATAGTACTGATTCACCTGACACCAAATCTAACCATACTGGGAAATAAAAGTAATGTTTTAAATGTTTCATTTGCATCAAGACCTCTGTTGAACTAACAGGCATGTTGTATGGTTATGTATTTTTCAGAAAATGGAGTTTTACATATTAAAAATATAGTCCCACATTTGGTGACTTCTAGAAAATGTATTCAAGGTTTAAATTCATTATGCAATAGCAAAATGTTCAAGGACATAGATTACTAAGGGCAGGGAGATTTAGGTTTTAATACTGATTCTACCATTTAATTACTCTATGACCTTGCTTTCTTCAACGGTAGAAAAGGAAAAATAAATGATGCCACCCTGATGGGATTTCTGTGAGAATTAAATATGATAATGCATATAAGGCATGCAACATCTACAAAATAGCAACATGTGTACCTTGTTCTAATATCTGCCCAATAATTAGAAGTATCATTAGCTCACATTGCCTAACTCTTGTATTTCTTTTTAAGCAGAAATGTTTTGAGTATATGAGACCTGATAGGAATTTTGGAAGATGATTTAGGGAACTTAAAAAATTGCAGTTGGAGACAACAAAGTCATGACAATAATACCAATCTATATAGGTGAAAAGGAACAAAGTCACAAGATGCCCCCTTCACAGTAAGGTATCAATAAAGTGGCATAGTATGCTAATTTTTGCTTTGGATGGAAGAAGCATAGCACTCATTTTCAGCATGCTAAGGAGGACTTATGGAAATGAGCACTGTCTTCACATCCATTGAGCATTCTATCCAATTAAATTCAGAGGAGGGAAGAAGCTTCTTAGAAATAATTATATTTGGCTATAATAAGTGAATATATGCAATGTGATGAATATTCATACATACAAAAGTTTGTAGGAATGTAAAAAAGCTAGAGATCTTTAGCTTTTGTTTTTTAATTGCCTTTAAGTGCATGCTAAAGTATAGATGGATTCTCTAGGTCAGTAGTCTCAATGTGGGGCAATTTTGCCCTCCAGGGGACATCTGGCAATGTCTAGGGACATTTCTGAATGTCACAACTAGAGAAGAAGGATACTACTGGCATCCAGAGAGTGTACTCCAGAGATGCTATTTAACACCCTACAATGATGAATAAGAAAGCCTCTACAATAAAGAATCATCTGGCTCCAAATACTGTAATGCTGAATTTGACAAACTCTGCTCTAGGCTAAGAACTATGCAAGGCCAAATGGATTTACCCTGAAAGAACACTGGGCAGGCCCTAAGACATTATATGCTTTAGGTCAGTATGACCAATCTTCCCACTTTTGTGTTAAATCCATGTTAATGAACAATAAGTTGAAGTATAAAAATAAATAAATAAATAATAAAGACTGAACAGAATATGGAGACTTTAGTTTACAATGCAGTATACATACTTGACTTATTGGGAAAATACAGTGTGGAAGTGTCTGGACTTACACATTGAAGAGGGCAAGCGTCTACATTAAGACTTTGACCATCCAAATGATCAGGGGTTTCTGGCTCTGGATTTCTTAAGCAGCATCAGTTCCCACACATGAACAATACATTGAGCAACAGTGGCATGGGCCTAATTAAGGCAGCGTTCCCAAGCAAAAAGTACCAAGTATAGTCTTTGGAGTTTTATTTTCTATTCCCAAGGAATTGAAAATCTACTCCACCTATCAAGGAAAATATTTTCTTCCACAAGTGGCCTTACACAAACACTGAAGGAGCTAACTAAGATGTTACAGATTTAAATGTGGATAACGCTCAAACACTAAAAATGTATATAAAGGATTTTACCTTGAAGCTTTTGATTCTGTACTTGGTGTCATCTTGGCGCTGCTGAAGAGAATGTCGGGGAGACATGGATTTAGAGAATCTTCCATCAATTCTCTCAGATGAACTGCAGGAATCCTAGAAAAAACAATAAAGGGTCTAAACTGGCACAAAAGAAATTAGTGCTTGAAACCAGAGTAAGAAAGTATCAACATGTAGAGAATAAGTAATTACAGGCACTTAGAGAAATAAATGAGGGAAAAACTGGCCCCCAAAGAAAGAGAAGAAAATGGTCAATGTGGATGCTACCATAGAAACGAAATAAGTGAGGGCAAGCATTGTAGTGTAGCGGGTAAAGCCAAAGGAAGTGACACCAGCATCCAGTATGGGCACCTGTTAGAGTCCTAGATGCTTCACTTCCGATTCAGCTCCCTGCTAATGCACCTGGGAGAGCAGCGGAAGACGGTCCAAGTGTTTGGGCCCCTGCACCCACGTAGGAGACCCAGAAAAGCTCCTGGCTCCTGCCTTCAGCCTGGCCCAGTCTTGGTTGTTGTAGCCACTTGGGGAGTGAACCAGTAGATGGAAGACTCTTTCTGTCTTTCTAACTCTGCCTTTCAAATAAATAACATAAATCTTAAACAGGTGCCACATTGGTTTTATTTGGATTTTTCTCACAACTGGTACCCAAAGCAATGAGGAATGAATGATACCAATTACCTGGAAGAAAAACATGATTTGAGTTGTCCAAAGATGGTCATTAATGATGCCAGGTACTTCTGGATGTTCTATACTTGGCATTAAAATATTCTCTTAGTTAATAAAGGGAGGGGCTTTAAAATTAAGTTCCTTAATTATGCTCAAACAATATTCTATTATGGAAAATTTTTAAACTTAAGGGTAAATCATTTACCTTTGTAATCACAGAAAGATTCAGGTAAAAGAGAAATTATGGAAAGGAAGATGCCCAGGGCTATCCTTTTTATTTTCCTTTTTGTTTTTTGGGTGAGGAAGGAATCCAGCATAGTTTCTATACCCAATTATTGAGATAATTCTTTTTTGAGTTAGGGAGAAAATAGGAAAAAATGAGGGTAACTAATTTTGGTATGTAAGAAAAGTCATATATGGCTTTAGTATTTTTTATACTCCCAAGGAACCTTAAACTTTCCAAATGTCCAAGTTTGAAGGAGTACTGGAATTCCATACTTGTCATTTTTATTTAAAAATGGACAAAACTCCTAAAGTCCAGGCAAGTTGCAAACAATTTGTCTAGAAGCAGGCAATCTGTGGCAGAGTGGGTTGTAACCCAGTGGCATTACCTTTCCACTGTATCAAATATTTAATGTTGAAATGTGGGATTATAAAGTGCAACCACTTTCAAAATGAGGTAAAAAACGGAGGGAGGGAGAGGTAAAGGGACGAGGTGGTAGAGACAGGTGATAGAGGAGGTGAGAGACGTTTGAGCACGTTAAACATGTAAACAGTCAAGCCTATTTATGTAAGGTAAGGTTTGCACCAAGAGTCATCAATAAGAGTATTATTACTGGGGCCGGCGCTGTGGCACAGCAGGTTAACGCTCTAGCCTGAAGGGCCGGCATCCCATATGGGCACCGGTTCTAGTCCTGGATGCACCTCTTCTGATCCAGCTCTCTGCTATGGCCTGGGATAGCAGTGGAAGATGGCCCAAGTCCTTGGGCCCCTGCACCTGCGTGGGCGACCCGGAGGAAGCTCCTGGCTCCTGGCTTCGGATTGGCACAGCTCCAGCTGTTGCGGCCGTCTGGGGAGTGAACTAGTGGATGGAAGACCTCTTTCTCTGTCTCTACCTCTTTGTAACTCTTTCAAATAAATAAAATAAATCTTTAAAAAAAAAGAAATATTAGAAATATTAGAATATTAGAAATATTAGAAATATGCATGTGAAATGTGCAATATATTTTTACATATGTATTAGTGATGTCAGTCACTGTGAACAGGAAACATGGAGATAACAGTGTTCAAGTTCTCATTTCATGGAAGAGAAGCTAGCCATGGGGACACTTAGAGCAGCCCTGGCTGTTGCAGGTATCTGGGGAATGAACCAGTAGATGAACAATCTCTCTCTCTGCTTCTTGAATAAAATATCCTAAAAATTAGAAATTACATACACTGTATATTATACAAGTATATGCATCTACAGGCATCCTGGATTAGACCTTGTCTGGCAGAAGTAGATGGCAGGCTTATTTGCTTTACGTAACTCTTCTATAAGCATCTCTAAAATGGTTAGCATGTAAATCTAAATATACAATTAATTTGGCTTGATAATAAAATGTTTTGTGATTAGAGCTCAAGCAACAAATGGGATGTGATACGAAATCTAAAACTATGTAAATCTAAATACATGTGTTATAATATAGGGATAATCTGCTAAGCATCCTATCTCTAAAACAAACAGTACTGCAGCAATTTCTAAAAAAGGTAACACATAAATTAAAATGGCTAATCAAAAAAGCTAATTCTTAGGTTTTTATAAATTATTGTTAAAGATTTAGGGGAACAAAAGAGTTTCTAATAGCAGGAAAAGTATTTTTTCTAATCTGCACTAACAGAAAACAAGTTTTGCTATTTTCAATCCTGACCTCACAACTGTTAATAAACTCTGATGAGATGAAGTGTTAAAAGCCCCCAGTGTTTTTTGATCCTTCTTGCCTCCCTACAATTTTCTTTGCACATCAGGAAGATGTCAAGTTTTCTCACTCAGACAAAAATACTAAAACAGACAAGCCAACTTTTTCTCACTCTGAAGTCTTTGAAATCTTCTAGGAGGCTCAGTTTCTCAGGCACAGACTCCAGATGGTTCAAGGCCACTCGGGTACTCTGGAAAAAAAAAGATACCAAATATTATAAAAAATAATTAATGCTCTCAGAATGCAAATATGAAATGAAGATATACCTCTGGTATAAGTATTTCAAACTGTACACTTAAGAGAATCAAATAACAGATATATAGTTACATGTTTCTCTTTAAATCAAAAGAATCGCTTGCTTTCAAAAAGTATATGAGATATATTTGCAAGATTGACTCAACTATAACGATTCTTCTGGGATAACTGCTTTCATCTGACATGTATTAAACTTCCTATGGAGCACTTGCATATCAATATTAGTTTACGAACCTGCTTCAACAAACATCAGAAATAAACTATAATAGATGAATCTGCAGTTACTTACTACAGTTTATTAGACATTCCCAAATGCTGCCATTAAAAAGAAGAGCCCTATTTAAAACAAAACAAAACAAAACAAAACAAAACAAAACAAAAACTTACTTATTTGAAATTCAGAGAGAGAGAGAGAGAGAGAGAGAGAGAGAGATCCTCCATCCACTGGTTCACTTTACAGATGGCTACAATGGCCAGGGCTGAGCAAGGCCAAAGCCAGGAGCCAGAAACTTTATACCCATCACCCACATGGGTGGCACAGGCCCAAGCACTTGGGCCATGTTCCACTGCTTTTGCCAAGTTATTGGCATGAAGCTGGAGAGCTGTATTGGAAGTGGAGCAACTGGGACTTGAACTGGCTCCCATATGGGACACTGGCATCGCAGATGGAGGCCTTAACCACTATGCCACATTTGCCAGCCTGAAAAGAGTTCTAAACAATTATCTTAAACAGGAAATGGGAAGTGGTTTGCTGAAGACTTGGGAAGAAATACCCAAAATTAAAACAGGGACATAAGACCCTGCTGATTATGAATCAATAACTTATTATATGCAGTCTTTGATTAGCTTGTCACTATTATACTTACCCATACAAACATTGAAAAGGAATGATTTAGAAATTATTTCAAACCCAATGTGAAACAAGAGATTAATTGAGAGAATAATTTGAGACCAGAGACTGTGTACTATGAATTCATGGAAACAGTGGAATTAAAAGATAAGTCTCGCATGTGTGTCACTAACAGACTCAGACAAGTAAGAAGTCTGTGTGCTTCCTCTGTCAACCTAGCCTCATCATGAGGATGTAAGAGGCCATATACTCAGGGAGGCATAATTGCTGGACAGAGGAGAGCCACACACCATATTGATGTCATGCAAATGGGACAAGAGATTCTATTCTGTCAAGCTGCAAGACTTCAGGTTTAATAGCCAATGGATAGCATTGCATTAATTATCTATTCTGAGAATTAAATAAATTGTAGGCTGAGCAGGAGGTCAACAGGGGAAGGCTATAAATTATGAGACTATAGGATTTTTTTTTTAATCAGAAGGCATTCAGTTTTTCCCATTTCACCATCCTATTGGAATTTCCTATCTCCAAAAGAGGGGCTGCTCTCTGATTGGCATTTACACTCCACAGCTTCACAAACACAGTATCTCCAGAACATCTATGTCACGTTTCTCACAGGGTTTGGGTTTGGGGAGGTACAGGGATTGTGGGGAGCAACTCGGACTAGACTAAGTTACTGGAATTAAGACTTATTCTATGCATCTGCTCTCCCACAATATGGCGCTGAGAAGGGAGGAAACAGCTTCTACACAGCTGCCTCCAGTTCAACCAATAAACAGCAGGACCTGCTCCTGATTGGAGGAGAGCAGCGTACTCGGCGTGTGGGTAGCAGAGTTGGGATTGGTGGAAGAGGACTATAAAGGAGGAGAGAGACAACATGCACCAGGAACATCTATCTGAAGGAACACCTGTGCAGCCCCCGAGAGAGCCGGCCGGCGGTGTGCCGCTCCCCTGCGGAAGTGGGGAAAGTGGCAGGGGGAACCGCCCTTCCACGGAGGTGGAAGGGATGGTAGCCAACCCGGGAAGAACCAGCAGCAAAACCCGGGGAGGGCCGAGCAGACAAAAGAACAGCGCAGGGTCCTGTGTCGTTCCTCCACGAAGACGAAGACGGGGAGCGACATAATGGGTTTAGTGTCGTTCCCCCACGAAGAGGGGGAGCGACATAATGGTGCCGTGACTCGGATAGCAAACCTAGGCAGGGTTTAGTGTCGTTCCTCCACGAAGAGGGGGAGCGACAAGGGATGAAGACTGACAGATCAGCTTGTGACCAGTACCACCTCATCTTTCTGTAGTAACTACTCCAATCACTCCACTCGAAAGCCAGAATTCTGCAAGGTGAATGATATTTGCTTTCCACCATTACCCACTTGGTAGGAATTTGGGTGTGACCTATTCTGTTCAGTCATTTCATAATATTTCATTGTTTTGCAACTTGAGGTAATAGATGTCTTCTAGTTTTGTCATGTTTAAATCAGTATTTTTATTTCTTAATACCCTTAATTTTGTTATATGATCACCGAGAGAAAGGTAGAAACATCTCACTTACTTATTTGAAATGTTCTTTGTATCTATCTATCTATCTATCTGAAATGGAGGGAGGAAATTAGGGAAGGGGAGAGGAGAGAAAGCTCTTCCACCCACTGTTTCACTCCCCAAATGACTGTATCAGCCAGGGCCGGCCTAGGCTGAAGTCAGGAGCCCAGAACTCCACCTGAGTCTACCACGTGGGTGGCAGGGACCCCAACTGAGTCATCATCTGCTGCTTCCCAGGATACACTCTGGCAGGATGCTGGATCAGAAAGGGAGGCGGACTGGAACTCAGGGACTCCAACATGGGATGTGGGAATTCCAGTCTGTGGTTTAACTGCCGTGCCAAACAATATGCACAGATGCCACCAGTTTAAAATCAAAGTTGTGTCTGTTGTTTCTTCAAGTCCATAAAGTCTTCTTTTTCAAAGTCCATTTAAAGGATTTAGTACTTTCCCCTCTTCTGCTTAACATTTTTTTTAATTCTGCGGCAGGTAATCTTTTAACCTTCCATGTACCTTAAATGTCTTCATTTAATTTTTTCATATATAGCAAAGATTCATCAAAATGACACATTTCTTAATATAGGCCACAATATGTAGTCTTAGAAGAGAGCAAGTAGTTTTACCCACCACACATACTATATTAATTCAAATAATAAAATTCCAGATTTTCTCAAGGATTATATTGATTCTTGAACAATAAAACACCAATCAATGTTCTGATGATTTTAAAGAACAATTTTATACATTAATAAAATTCTCTTCATAAACACTGATACTGACTTGTAATATTAAAAATTCTATTTTCTTTTTATCCCATAATTTTCTCATTCAGAATGGATTTTCTAATGAGAACTGAATATATTAAGTTCATTTGGTTCTCAAAATTCAACAAGTGATCTCTTCCTACTATAAAATGTAGCATGTTATACAAATATGTCAATGAAAATTGTCACATAATCAGGTGACCACATGACACCATGTTATTTCTTGCATGTGATCACATACCTGTTTACTCTATTTTTATAGATATTTAGATGGCTACATTTTGTGAGTGAACCTTGAAATCCTCCTTGCTTCCTTCTTTCTTGACTACAGTTACACTGACACCTTCTCCCTCCGTGTCTGCATTCACTGCTCTATATACTTTCTGCATCATTTACTTCAGTTGTGGCTTACTTTACATTCAGTTTATGTGTTGCTTCCAAATATCTTTCACAGCATTAGGAATACTTTCTGGCCCATATGCCTCACCTTCAGCTCTGTCTTCTAGTCAATTAACTGCAAATGTATACCTTTATATATCATAGCAAGGCCCACAAGACATAGATGCATACATCTTGTTCTCCAGGAGTTTTTAATTAACTGGGGAAAAAACATACATATGTAAAATATTTAAGAACTACATAAAGAAAAAAATTGATTTAAGGAAACTGCATGTAAGAATGCTGAGATTTCCAGGTTATGAGTAAAAACTAAAGTATAAAATCAGTAAGACAGTGAGTTCAGGCCTGCAGGCATTCTCAGGTCTCATGATATGATTTCAAGATTAAGTAATATTTTGGGGAGTACCTTTATCTTCTGGTCTCTGTCTGGGTGAGTGTGAGTTTGCTTAAAACTACTACTTTGGCATACAGTCTTAAGAGTAAGCAGAATAACACTGCAATCTTGTTATTTTTTTTTTCCAAACATGACATTGGCTGTTTACAGTCTGCCACATTACTCATCATTTCAAGTTCACACTTCCCCAAAACTAAGAATTCTATAGATTTAGCAGACAAATAGTCTAAAATAAGGGACTTGTTGACTTTCAAAAATGCCATGAGGATCCATATCATAACAGCTCCTAGGGGAGAATGCCAGTGAATTAAGCATAATGGAAATTAAGTTGTTTAATTTTTTTTTCTGTCTTACACATCTAATGTTTAAATCACCCAGTCCCAACTGTTCAAATTCAGGGAGAAAAATTTTAAGTTAATTTCAATAATGGCACCAGCAAATGACAGGGTGTTTAATTTGTTCGTAATTTTCCTAATCATATTTTTTAGGATACAAAAGGGTTTGTTTTTCTTACAAAAATGTTATGAGACACTAAATTTCATATCAAATGTGAAAACAAAGAAAAAGTCACAATTAAGTCTGCATTTCACAAAGAACCAATGCACTGTGTATATTTGGTTTACTGCAGAAGCTTAATGAGGTGGGACTTCCACTGGTCTAGAAGCAGAAGCAAAGCAAATAGTCAGTTAATCCTAACTCTGTTTAGCAGCATAAAAAAAGACTGAAACATTAAAATGGAATTCAATTTTGAATACATTTCTTAATCCTCACATCACCGTAGGTGGTAGATACTATTATTATCACCATTATATAGATGAGGCAATCGAGAACCAGAGAGTGTGAATAACTTCCTCAAAACACGTGGTGGCAAAACTGGGATGCATACCCAAGCAGTCTGACTGCAGAAGAGGCAGTGTCCTTATTACAAAAAATATTTTCATGGCAAATCATCAGCTAAAATGGAGCACCTAGCAACCAGAAACTGTAATTGTGAGT